GACTGCTCATGAAGTGCTCTAATATGATAGATATGTCAGCCGTCAGTCTAATTGGAGTTTATTCTAGAAGCATCTGGACAATTCAGACACCTCCTGACTGTTGGACCTGTGGTTGTGTATCCCAAGTATTTGTACCCGGCACCTTATTAACCTCAGTGGGCTCAGCAAGAAGCGCCTGACAGATCACCTCGGGGCACCGGCTCACCAGGGCTCCTTGTCCTCAGGCCGGGGTGGAGCACCCCGACGCCCCGCTGAGAGACTGCGGGGCGGGCAGCGCTGGTCCGACTTCCCCACTAGGAGGCTCAAGCGCGGCATTGGCGCAGAGGGCAGGACTCCCGGGAGAAATTAAATGCACTTTAGGAGCCAATGCAGCGGCTTATCGCTGTCGCCTTCCCTGCTCCCCTGCAGCCGCCCTGGCGTTCGGAAACGGGTGGTTTCCTCCTGGAAGGAATGTCAAAGGCTCTGATGAGTGGGCGAGGCGACCAGGGCTCCGCGGGCTCGGGCGGCCGCCGGAAGGCTCGGTCCACGCCCCTCCCTGCTCGGAGCTCGGGTCCGAGGGTGGACGCGCTCGCCCAGGGCGCCCCGCGGCCCCCCACCCTCCCGCACCCTCCCGCACCCTCCCGCACCCCTACCTTCCGCGGACGGCAGCAGGTACAGGAGCAGGAGGGCCCAGGGCCCGGCCCGGGTCATGTCGGCCCTTCTCCGGCCGCCCCGGAGGGGCCAGGTCCCGCCTCCTGGTTCACCGGCGGGCAGGTGACGCGACTGGCAGCCAATGGGAGGCCGAGCCTAGGGACCGCCCCTGTGGGCCGGGACTCGGCGGGGGCTTCCCCCGGGGGCGCCCCGCGGCGGAGACCGAGACTGGCGCTGCAGGCTCCGGGCTCCCGGCTCCCCGGCGCCTGCACTTCGCTTGTTTGGCCCGAGCCCGGGGTGCGGGTGCGGGTGTGGGTGCGGGTGGGGAGGGACCATAAATCGGTGTATGCGGGAGGAAAAATGTTTATTATTAATAATCAAAGTTAGGAATTCCAAGACGGGATTTTTAACGGGACCAAGGAGAGTTCAGGGCCAGTGTAACAACAAGCCTCGCCTCGGACACCCTTGCAGGATCTGAGCGTGTTTTACGTGCCGATACTGAGCCAAGCGCTTCAACACATTATCTGCTTTAATCTCCCGACTTTCCTGAGAATCCAGGCGTTGGTCCCGTTGCTCTGTGTTCCTCACGTCGGGGTGGCAACCTGGAACCAGTCCCTCCGCAGACGGTACAGTCATTAGAAAGGTTGCTGCCCAGGTAAGCGCTGAGCAGACCCAGGGATGTGTACAATGCATTCCCTCAAGAGCAAGAACTGTTAAGGGCAGAAACATAATATTGGGAACTAGCTATTAGTTATAAGAAATAAATATTAATCATGCTCTGTTAACCATGATTGTTTTGTTCTGATTAAAGAAAGCACATTCTAACCCGGCTGGGAGTTCCGAGAACTGTCTATCATTATGGAGAGATTTACAACCTCTTGGCTGAAACAATTGAGTCCTGGAGGCATCTGCTCTTGACAACCTCCAACCCCTCTTGCCTGTAATCT